TTTCTCTCTCTCTCTCTCTCTCTCTCTCTCTCTCACTCTCTCTCTCACACACACACACTAAACCCCACCATTTTACCAGCCACCCCTTTCATCCCCTCCCCCCAAAGTAATCAAGACTCACTACTGAAGAAAACAAAATCCTCGCGAAAAGATTATAACAGAGTTCTCATCCGCATCCTTACTTTAAACTCGCAAGCAAAGGCGTAGAAGCCGCTCCCGTTACCTCCTCCACCACTCCGACTTTCCTGTTTAACGAACTTCCCCTAGTGGGTGGTTTGCGGGTGCTCTGGTGTGGTTTGCTCCTTCTTTCCTATCAAACATTTATTCGTCCTTATCTCCCCCTCCTTCTTTTTTATGTTTGTTACTCTCTTGTAACACCTCTAATCTTCTGGCGCTCATATGACCGTATGCAGTTGCGAGCGCCGTAAAACCTCTACTAGCAAAAAGAACTTCCCCTAGAGAAGAGACATCAAACCTCCTCACGTTTCCGCCTGATCTTCATCCTGGCCTCAAACGATCTGTGGCTAATAATAATATTTCCTATAATAATCATCTTCCCCACCTACGCATAACCATTGCCAGTTTCTGAGCTATCATCAACATATGTTAAACTGAGTGTCTTGAACACACCTCAGTATACAACTAGCCAATATATTGCTTTTTATAGCCTGGGAACAGTCTAAAAATTATTGTTTGTAAAAATATTTTAAAAACGTGCACTTTTTAACCTGTTTTCATTCCTTTGTGGCTCCCAGTAATAAGGAGCACGATGCGTGACATTTATCAATTCTATCTTTGCTTTCACAAAATAAGGTATACCTGGAAATTCCGTGGGTTGATGGGTGCATTGATTGAAAAGGGGGAGGAGGGGTGGGTGCGTCACTTTCGATGCATAATATGCCTTTAATGACAGAGAGCAACGACTATTTTTGGCCAACTACAGCCGACTTGGTGCTGTTTGTACAGTGTATCTAATTTGATAACGCTAATGGTTATTACAAAATAGACATTTCTATTGGGATCAATGCTGGGGAACAGATCTTGTACCTCTACATCTATACGTGTTTCAGACAACTGATAATGATGATGAGAAGAAGAAGAAGAAGAAGAAGAAGAAGAAGAAGAAGAAGAAGAAGAAGAAG